TAATTGATGGCGGGGATAGTACTGTTTCAATGCTAGGAGAGTTGACAACGAATCTGTGAATATCTGATAGTTTTTTCCTGTTGAATTGTATATGGAGGATAATGCCATGTCTATCGCTGTTATTTCCGCTGTGTATATTGAGGTGTAGTTTGGAAGATGCTGAGTATGACTGTTGGTAAATTGATATTGCTGCTGGTAGATGATTGCTGCTGTTGTTGAATTTTCTTTCTTCGAGCCATCTGTATATATTTTAATATTATTTTCATTATTGCTTAGTTTTTCTTTATACATAGTTTTTGCCAGCTCTTGGTCTTTGTTTGCACTTGTTATGGATGTGTCAATTTCGGGGTAAGACATTAGCCATGGAGGGGTTTTGTGGGTTATCTCCTCTAAAATCTTTGTTTTATCTATTTCTTTGATATATTCTTTTAATCTTATTGCAATTGTGGGAATGGATTTAATTTTTGTTGGTCGATTTTTACTCATTATGTATTTATAAGCAGGATTATCTATTTGAGTCCTTATTTTGAGGTAGTAATTTATTGATAGTTTTTGGTGTCTAAGACATAGTGGCATCTCTTCTGCTAATATATGAAGGCTACTTGATGGAGATGTTTTGAATGCACCCAAACATCTTCTTAAAGCTTCGTTTACTATTGGCTCAAGGATTTTCATATAGGATTTCCTGGTGCCACCATATACTGGGCCGCCATAATCTAATATTGGTCTTACTGTTGATCTGTAGATTGTTGTCAAATGCTTTTGATGTGCGCCCCATGTGTATTGAGATAATGCTTTAATTAAATTGAGAGCCTTCAGGCATTTCTTCTTTATCTGTTGTATATGGGGTATGAAATTTAACTTTGAATCAAATATTATTCCTAAGTATTTATATTGAGGAGTGAATTCTATGAGATTGTTTTGAAAAATCAGTTTGGGATACGTTTTATTGCGTTTTCTTGAAAATAATATTGCTTTTGATTTAGATTTTGAGAATTGTATTCCATTTTCATTCGACCATTTCTCTATATCCTTCAAGGTTTTATTTATTTCTGTCTGCATTTTATTGGTGTCTTTGTCTTGGAAAGAAATGGTTATGTCGTCCATATAGAGAGCTATCATTGTGTTTCTAGGGATTATTTTTGTTATATTATTGATGCTTAGACAGAACAAGTTTGGAGACAAAATACTTCCTTGCGGAATGCCTAATTCTGGAGACATTATTTCTGATAGGGAGTTGTTGACCTTTACAACGAAAGTACGGTTTGTTAAAAAGGCTTGAATGAATTCTATTATTTATTCAATCATTGTGTCATAGCTAGGCTGACAGCTGTTTCGGCAAAGATGCCATCGTCGGAGCCTTGGGTAATTGAACATGAACAAAGCATATTAAAATGTATTTGTATAAAATCAATGCGTTAAATGTAATGTCAAATTGAAACAAAATGGAATAAAAGATAAACCTTGAAATTGAGAATTCAACGGTAATAAAATATATAGTGTTATAAAGGAACTCCGAATTTATTACAACAATAAAAAGACGTCTCACCTAATACTGAAAAACAACTGCAGTCCTAGAGATAACTCTGAGTTAAAGCGTAATCACGTAATATATGAATTTAATTGCCCCTTTGACGGCTGTGCACATCAACATGACTCATATATCGGGATTACTAGTACCTCACTGACTAGAAGGCTTACGATGCATAAACAGAGTGGTGCTATCAAATCTCATTTGGACTCAACACACTCAATCACAATTAGCCGTTAAATCCTCGACAGCAACACCAAAGTAATAAACTAGAACAGCAACTACACGCATCTTAAAATTGCAGAAGCAGTCTTAATTGACATTAATAAACCAAAAATAAATATGCAACAAAAAATAACAACCTCACTTCCAACCCGGCGCTTAACCAACAACGAAAACAAAGAAGTAATAAAAACTAGCATTGTAAATAGTGACGAAAAAGAATTTGATGCAATCGATGAAGAAAAAAAAAAAAACTAAAGAAGATGACCAGCCAATAAAGAAACCTGACACCTAATTCGCATCAAAGTTCAATTTTACAATACCAAAGGTAATTTTTACAACGTCAAAGTTTATCTTTTTCCCTATATACACTACAAGGAGCACTGATGATGATTCATTCGGAATCGAAATATGGCCTTATTGCAGCAG